AAATATACTTTGAAAAAATTTTTTGACCAAAACCATGAAAGAATGTTTATTTTTTTAAACTTTTTGTTTAAAAATAACAATTTGTATGCAATAAAACTTAGAATAATAGTTCTTGTGTAAAATTTTTTTTTTATTTGAAATTTTAAAATTTTTTAAAAGTGTTGTTTGTTTAAATTTTCAGAGGATTTTGTTTGACTAATATAAACTGTAGCTAATGCATATTTGATATAACTTTTTAAATTTTTACTCTCATCAAATATTTATTTATTATATCTAGGGACTCCATCTTGAAATTTTAGAATTCTGGAATTCGTTTTCATAATATAGTTTCGAATTCCGTAAATTTTTCAGCAAATTCCGAAATTGAAATTTATTTTTCGTGCTCTCTTCAACTTTTAAATTGTGTTTTTATTTCTGTACATATAAATATTCTACATTCTCATTCTATAAAAAGAAATAAAGAAAACAATTGTAAATTATAGTTATCCAGCATAATACAAGTAGACATAGAGAAAACATTTATTTCATATCCACATATAATAAATTGTTGAGATTTTCTTATTGTGTTACGCAGCTCTAAGTGATCTCTGCTTTCTCAAGACATATTTTAGGCAAATAAAACAATAATTTTATATTTTTATTATTAAATGATATATCATATTAGAATGTTTCTGTACTAATTTTATAATTGTATAATTTTATGTTCCATTTTTATTTTGAAAGAAAGTATTTTTATGCAATAATCAACAATGAATTATCTCAAATAAGTTATTTTTATAATTTATATAGACATAAAAAAATTTAAAATATTTTCGATTTTTTTAATTTTGTCAAAATTTGCATTCCCTAATAATATCTTATAAATCTCTTTTTTTTGATCTATCTTACACACTTACATTATATGTATTGCATTATTCGAAATTTGTCTGCATGCTGTGTATGAAAAAAATGCATCTTACAGCAACTCAAGCAAAAAGATTTTTTTAAACCTATCATATTAAGATTGATGTTTATAATGCAAGAGTTTCTCAAGGCATTTTAGAGGCATGTCAAATAACCAATCACAAAAAGTATGAGTGGACAAATGTCACATTGTTTATTCTTCCAAAATAAAACAAATCGCACAAAAATTTGTGCACCATAGTATGTTCACTAATATTTGCACAGCTAGATTATTGCAACTACTTTAGAATTAAAAAGACACTATTAAAAAAACTTCTGTATGTTCAAAATTGTGCACCAAGACTGGTATTTAAAACTAGAATAGAAAATTATGTAAACAACTAGGAATTTAACAAATTGCATAGGCTAAAAATTAGAGAAAGAATATATTTCAAAGTCCTTTTAATAATGCACATATCTATTATTCTGGAAGCACCAACATCATTTTGCAATTTAATTCACTACTTAATGTTGGAAAGAACACTAAAATCAAAGGAAACAAAATGCAGCAATTGTTTTGGTGGTCAAGCATTATCCTAATATGGTCCTAAACTTTGGAGAGTACTTCCAAATATCATCTGTGACAAAAAAAAAAGTTATAAGAAAAAACTAAAATCTTGTTTAATGGTGAATGGTGAACTTTTTCGCCAAAACACTCTTGAATGTTAAATTAAAATCTCTTGAACATTAATATTAAAAACCTTACCAATATAATAATTTGTTGCTCAGTTGAGCAAGTATTTTGCCAACTTTATCTACTATTCTGGCAAAACACAGTAGCTGTGGGTGAACATATGTATTAATATATTTTTCATTTTTGATTTTTTCATTAAATGATTTCCTTATTAAAAAATATTTGAGTTTTGTAAATATGCAAACTTTCAGAAAAATTTGAATTTATGACTAAAGTGTAATAATTTAAAATTTATCATTTTCTGTAACTAGAATATATGTATTTTGACCTTGTATAATGTATGGCTTTCTTTGATGTGTGTGTGTGTGTGTGTGTGTGTGTGTGTGTGTGTGTGTGTGTGTGTGTGTGTGTGTGTGTGTGTGTGTAACAATGATGTGTGTGTGTGTGTGTGTGTGTGTATATATATATATATATTGAATGTAGTATGCTAAATGTTCTTAAAAAACAGAACAATAAATTAGTAAAAACACTTTTTTAAATTTCTTCTACAGTCTGTTTTACCTTCAACTGGTTCATTAGAAAGCTTCACGATGAACCTGGTGAAGGTGAAACAGACTTTAGAAGAAATTTAAATTAGTATTTTTACTAATATATATTAGGAATATAACTTTTTTAAAACCTTATGTTCCTGTATGTCAGTTTGATGAATAATTACTTAAAACCAAAGAAACAAATAGTGATTTTAATTTTTTTTGAAAAAAGTTTACCCTCAAATCAAAATTTCTAATTGTGTGTTATAAATGAACATTATGCATTATTTAATAATTACATGTCTAGTCACTAACTATTGCAGTTACTAGAGCATAGAATATGCTTCGTAATGTCTATTTTTAAAATATTATAGTGTCTGTATGATATTTTGTT